GGGGAGGGGCAGGCATCCACTTAGTATTTGGGGCTGGGACCAGCTCCCTAGACCTCTCCACTGATTCCCTACTCCGGGGGAGATCACTTTCATGACCTCTTTTAAAAAGGGGTTATTTCAAAAGCAAGGGTGTGGCCACATTTATTCAATACTATTCCTAGAGAGAACTGGACTGTGGTGGACCCATCTCTCTAGGCTTTAGAAAAATGTACCGTATATACTCATGTATAAGCTGACTTTTTCAGCACATTTTTTATGCAGTTTTTGTGGCAAAATTAGGTGCCTTGGCTGATACTCAGGTCAGTTTATACTCGAGTATATATGGTATGTGGTTGGAGCAAGGATAATCCATCAGGAGCTGCCTATCCGGGGTGGATGAGGGGGTTTTGCTTTCTGGGTTACAAAGAACAGAACCTGATCAAATACCTCAGGGAAGGTGGGGTGGGCATAATTGTGAGGTTACTTATGGAAATAGGGAAGACAAGAATTGCAACCATCTGGCTTGAGGGTAGAGGTTGGTTCATGGGAACCCAGAAATGCCCAGAGAGCCTGCCTTCTGGAAAGAATGGACTTTACAGCCCAGCCAAGTTCCTGAAACCCCGAACGAACGTGACTTGGAGGCCCTCAGCAGGAGCAGCATGCTGTCAGGAGCCACAGTGAGTCAATGGTCACCCTCTGTCTACCCTCGGGCCTTCATCAACTCACTTTGATCACGAACCAGGCTTCGGTGTGAATTCTTTCTCCCGCAGAGCCAAGGACAGAGGTATAGATCTAGCCCCAGAGAGATCTAACAGTTCTTCATGACCTGACCTTGTTTGATGCTCGCCCTCATGTAGAGATCACTGAAGATATGGGTGCCATGGTAAGGTGTTGTGAAGAAACCAGATGGTGCTCAACTATCAGAAAAAGAAAAAAACCCCAACAGTATCTGAGATCTTACAGCTTGTCTTAAAACAAGCAACCATCTAAGGAAGGAGTTAATTAAGTCCACATGGAAGGAGTATGCCAGTATGTGTGATCCAAGGATTGTAAATAATAAGATCCAAATAGAAGGAGGGCATGTTATCAGAGCCTAAATCATGAACACTTGGTTTGCAGAAGGCTGTGGATAATAGTGGAAGCTTTCAGGGGCTGTCCGTCACGTCACAGCCGTTCCCGCTCAAAGCCACCCTGTGTACAACAGAAGGAGACACTGCCTGGTGCCGTGCTATCCCCACAATTGCTCTTACGTTGGAGGCCCCTGTGTCAATCCATCTCTTAAAGGGCCTTCCTCTTTTTAACTGCCCCTCTACTTTACCAAGCGCGATGTTCCATTCTGGGACGGTCTCTCCTGACAACACGGACAAAGTACACGAAATCAAGTCTCACCATCCTTGCCTCCGAGGAGCATTCTGGCTGTACTTCCTCCAAGACAGATTGTTCTTTTGGAAGTCCCTGGTACTTTCAGTATGCTTCTTCAGCACTATCATTCAAATACATGGATTCTTCTGTGGCCGTTGTCATTCCTGGGGGTCAGCGGCAGCCTTACATGCTGGCTTTGGAGTCATTTGCTTCTGCAGCCCAAAGCCCACCTTCTGCACTGATCTTGCAGCTACGTGAGTTAGTATGAGCCTCCTCAGCCACCTGAGTCAAGAGAAACCTCTAACCTGACATCTGATTAATGGCCTTGGAACCTGTCCACTCCTACAGCTGTTAGCCACTCCCTTGATATAAATCTGTATGGATATGCATAGCTACGCTTCATTGGTGCTGCTTCTTTAGCGCACTCAGGCGAAGACAACATGCAACGAAGAAATATTTTCTGGATTAGAGTAGGTTGTGGGGTCAAGAAAGGCCTCTCTGAGGGAACCGATTACAAGGAACTCTATGTGACCTCCTCCCTGG